GGGTGTCTGTACGCATAGTCTGCCCTTATTCTTTCCTTTCAAATGTTCTTTTAAGATGATAAAATTAGTGGTAACTCATAAAAAATCAAATGATCCGGAGGTAGAGATGCTCATGGGTTAGGCCCATGTCCAGCCTGCATCTCCCTCCAGCTCCCAACTCCCCAAAGGCAGCCACTGTAGGCCCTGGGGTCATGTCCTTCCCATCTGCCCAGCTCCGGGTTTGGTTTCCGGTGACTGTGTGCTGAGCTGTGGCAGACCAGGAAAGACTCCAAGGGTGTGATATGCTCCTTATGTTTCTGGAGCCTCTGTTTCTGTGGGACTGACATCCAGGGTGTGTAGCTAGGCACGGGGGTACCCCTGGATGTGTCTGCCATCAGCTCAGCTCCGGACCCCCAGGGGCTCACCAGGCAGGGGCTTGTCTCAGGGGGTCCGGGGTGGACCCCCGATCCGCTCCCAGCTTCCTTCAGGGGCCCTGCCTTCTTGAGCTGTGAAGGTGGGTGTGCCTGGCTCTCCCCTCCCCGCCCCTTGCGCTTGGACGTGGGGCCTCTGCCGTTCCACCGGGCTGGCAGGTCAGGAACGCAGAAGGACTCTGCTTTTATTTATTCAGGCAAGACAGAGTGTGTGAAAGGTCACCAGCGCCTGTGAAGCACCTGCCACGGGTGAGGCCGGCGGCTGTGACGGTGGAATCATCGATCTTTCTCCCTGGCTTGGGTGGGAGCCCTTCAGAGCTGAGCGGCAGTAGGGCAAGCTCGGAGGTCCGGAGCCCCCGGCCAGCAGCTGGGCACCTTGCCCAAGCTTTGGTCTGTTCCCAGGGGTCCCTCCAAAGATGCAGAGCCCGTGCTCCCCGAGCCTCATCACAGACAGGAGGGGTCCCCACCAGGGGCCCTCTAGGCTGAGGGACATGTCCGGTGACTAAAGGTGACCATTTTCCCAGGACTTTTAAAGAAGAGAGAAAACTCTTGCCTTGTGTTAAGCTGTTTCTCAATCAAAGCACTGCTGACATTTGGGGTGTGGTGAGCCTCAGTGTTTGGGGGTGTCCTGTGTGATATGTAGTCTCATCCCTGACCTGTACCCACTGTACACCCACCTCCAGTTGTGACAACCCAGAACGTCTCCAGACATTGCCAGATGTCCCTGGGGGGCAAGTCACCCCTCCCCTCCCTTTGAGACCCACTGGACTCCAGGATTCAGAAATGGGCTTTCTGTGACCATCATTTGGGCGTCGTGAGCTGCTTCTCGCCCGGGAGCAGTTTTTCTTTGTTCCTTTTCCAAAGGGCTGACCTCATCGGGCTCATTTGTTTGTTTCCTTGACTCACACTGCTGTAACCACAAGCAGGCTTCCTACTTTGGGGGATCCCGAATGACTTATCATGGGACTTGATATGTAAATTTGAAAGGTTCTCATCTGCTACATTGGGGGCAGAAGGCCTTGTCAACTTCTTTTTTAGGCCTATTTGCTAAGTGCTTCCCTCGAGTCTTTCAGAGCACGGGGCCATCCGGCTGAAGATTTTATCGTGAGCACCTTTTGCAGTTTGGTTTTCTGAAATCGCTCAGCATTTCTCTCCCATTAGTTTGGGTCTTAGCCCAGTGACTAGCAGATGAGCTAAGGGCCAGTGCGGTCTGACGTTGTTTGGGGCTTGGGGGATTTTTCTGAAAGCCTGTGACCCAGGACTGGCTGTTGGAAAGGGAGGAGGAGGAAGAGTGAGGCCTTAGGACAGACCCACCCGGGTCATGCCCCCCAGTGCTGTGCATCAGGCTCCTTGAGCAGGGCCGGCCTGGCTGCTGTCTCCTCTGGGGACCAGAACTAGCTGCTGACTCGGAGATGGGGCTTCACAAAGCTCAGTGTTGCCCTGAGGCCCTGCCTGACCCAGGCATCCTTCCCCTTTTCTCCTTTGAGGAGCGGGGTAACCCTCCGGGGAAGGAGGATGAGCTCTGCCTGAGTTCCACCAAGCTTCTCGCCCCTAGCAGCTTTCTCTGCCTCACTGTCTGCTCAGGGAAATGAATTCTGGCTTTCTGCTAGGGCCTTTATACCTAGCGTCTGCCCTTGCCCCGGAAAACCCCAGGTATTGGAAGATCTCGGTTGTGCCCACAGCTCTTGGCTGCCGCCGTTCTCTTCTGCAGTGGCTCCCAGAGGCTCAGCTTACTTGGCCGCCTCCATAGCACGCAATTGAACTTGAGCAGTGGTTGGAATGCCACCACCACCCCCCGCCTTCCTCCTTCCCACACACCTATGCTGTGAGCTCACATGCTCGCTATGGACTTGCACTTGGCGAGCCTCAGACAGTGCAAGGGAGGAGAAGCTAGATCTGGCCGCCAAGGGCACTGAGTCCCGGATGGCAAGAAAAAGGCCCGTGTTGCTGGCGGACCGGGTGCCACCAGCCCCACCAGCTGTGCCATCAGTGGCCCCGTTCAGACATCAAGCTAGGACCCCCTCTCGCAACCCAGACAGAATCCCAGGTGCTCGGTGATCCTCCGTGGAGGCCTGGAGACAAGTGGGATAGGTGGGCCCATGTGTGCTCAGAGCAGAGTTTTGAGGGCGCCTGGAACTTGCCCTTTGCTCCCTGGGGCTCTTCTCCCTGCCTTCACCTGCACTGGGGCCTGGCAGAGCTTGGAGGCTTCCGGATTCCGGTGTCGGTGGTGGCCAGTCTGCTGGAGTAAAGCTGCTTTCCCAAAATAGCCACCCAGAGGGAAAGAGCAGCCCTGGAATTTGATCCCAGTGATGATGACCATGGCAGCCTCGCTCAGGCTTCTGGTCCCACCCAGCTCCACCTCCCTGACCGACACCCAGGAACTGGGGGTGGGTGTGGGAACCAGGTTTTTCCTGTCCTCTTCCCTCCTTCCTCTTCCTTTTTCTTTCTCACCAGCAGCTTTAGGGTTAGATACAAAGGACTCAGGAAAGATGTGCTGGTGTGGAGGGGCCGGTGGTGGTGGGGGGGGGTGTCACAGGATGGAAACAGACTGGGGAGCACGTCTCCACAGGTGAACACACACCTTCGGAGGGGCCCCAGTGCTGGCAGTGAGCCCAGCCCCCCGGCAGGTGAACCCGGTGCCAGACCCGGAGGCGGCAAGCCCGACAGGTCAGACAGGTGGAGCCAGCCTTGAGGTCCATGGTCCCCAATCCCTGGTCCTCCCTCAGCGCACAAAGCAGGTAACCACCTTCTTTTTCCCCTGCTGCTGGTTTAATTCAGTATCTACCTCAGGGAACACTTACACCTTGACAAAAAGACCTTTGGGATGAGTGGAGAAAATCACAAATTTGTTTCTAGAGGATTTACTGGGGGGGGGTGGAATTTGGCCTTGGTATTAGAAAAACATTTCTAATTGTCTGAGCTTTTGTTCCAAAAAGTAACCGTCTTACGGAGCCTGGTTGCTTAATCGAGAGTGGGGGGAAGGCAAGGTCCAGAAATGGTATCCCAGGTGCTCACTGATCCTTATTGGAGGGCTGGGGACAGGGCTTTTTCAGTAACTACAGATGGAAATCCCGTGCAAGGCTTTATGGTGGTTAAGGGGCTGTTTTGCTTTTCCGTAAGGTTGGGGGTTGGGCTGGGGGCTGCCTCTGCCCAGCTGGGCTCAGCATTAAATCAGGGCAGGACCCTCAGACCCTACTCAGAAAAACATTTTGGGGCGGGAGGGGTAGTGCTGGGCTTCTTCCGAAACCCAAATTTATGTTACAGCTCCTTGGGCTGGATTTTATTTTGCAGTTATGAAGTTCGGAAATCTCTCCTTGTGAGAGCCTGTCTCTGGCATTTTCACCCCCACTGTACTTAGCCCTTAGTGTTTTGGGGGATTTCCGGCCTGAGGACAGGAAGGGAGCACAGGTCTGAAGAACAAACCTGGGACCCTCCACCAGAATGGAGGACTGGTTCTGTCCTGTTGGACATGGTTGAAAGTAGAAGATCCCAGAACAGGGGCCACCTGCCTAAACTGTCCTCGAGCGGTCTGCGTTTGCAGGGAGAGGACGGGTATGCCATGCCTGCAGCCACTGAAGAGAGGTGTTTTTGTTAAACGGTTTCCTTTTTTTTTTTTTTTTAATTCCAAGGTAATTCGTGATGCCCAAATTGCTTAGATTATAGGTTAGAATACCTTCTTCTGAGAGTGAGAGACAAGTCCTACTCAAAATGACTTAAGGAATCAGAACAGTAAACATTTTATAAAATATAAGTCCAGAGGTCGGCAGCTTCAGGGTGGGCTGTATCCAGCAGCTCAGGGATGTCAAGGAGTTGGGCTCTCTCCATATTTCTGCCCAGCCGTCCTCTGTCTGCTGACATTATCTTCTACCAGCTTCCTTCCCAGCCAGCCCTTCCTGGGCCTGCCTTGTTATGAGCGAGGGAATCCTTCCCAAAGCCCCGGCTAACTTTCCCACACATCTCATTGGCCATAGTGATGCCTCAGGCCCGGCCCCAACCAATCGGTGGCAAGGGAAGGGGCTGGCGTGAGGCATGTGACTTAAGGAAGAGAGGCTTAGTTTACCTGAACCCCAGAGAGAGGGATGTGGGTTTGGAGCAGTCAGTCAGGATCTGCTACATCGGAAACTTGGGGGGCAGGGAGTCAATAACTGACAATTACACTCACTCCTAAAATACCTATATTTTATGCTCTGTTGTTAAGGCAAGGGCAGTTCTAGACAATCAGGCATCTGTTGTTCGCTTCTTGCTTCCCAGACAGCCCCTCTCCCCACTGAGCATCTGGGTTGGTGGTCCTCAAGCATTTAAGCTGTTCTCCCTCTCGATGAACCTGCTGCTCCCAGAGTTGGCTGTTGAAGCCCTCCATCTGGTAAGGACCAGATTGGGAAACATGAAGGATTCTAAATATTCAGAGGCATTAGACGAGCACGTCCCCAGCTCTGCCGAGGACAGAGGCAATAGGCTTCTGGCCAGCAGCCCCCAAGAGCCAGCAGACATGGTCGCCATTCACCCAGGGATGCTGCAGGACCGGTGGAGGGACAGGCACGCACCAGTGTCAGCCACCAGGGACTGTGTGACCTTTTCTCTTTCCTCCAGTGCAGGCACAGGTGGCTCCTGAAATTCAGGAAAAACAGGGGTGCTCTCTGCCCCTCTGGGAAAGCTGGTTCCCCTCAACCTGGACAGATGATAATTTTTGAGGCTGAAAACATCCAAGTAAGTCTTTCATGGCCCTGTCCCTGAGATCCCCCACTCTTTTCTTTTATGTTTTTTTTTTAACCTTGTATTTAGGCTTCTTTGTTTATTAATTTTTATTTCTTTAAATTTTACTTAGTTAACATACAGTGCAATATTGGTTTCTGGAGTAGAATTCAGTGATTCATCACTTACCTACAACACCCTCCTTAATGCCCATCACCCACCTAGCCCATCCCCTCCCCACCTCCCTCCAGCAACCCTCAGTCTGTTCTCTATAGTTACGAGTCTCTTAGCATTTACTTCCCTCTCTCCTCCCCCCCTTTATATATGTTCGTCTGTTTTCTTAATTAAGTTCCACATATGAATGAGATCATATGGTACTTGTCTTTCTCTGACTTACTTCACTTAGTGTCATACACTCTAGCTCCATCCACGTTGTTGCAAACAGAAAGATTTCATTCTTTTTGATGGCTGAGTAATATTCCATTGTAGATATAGACCACATCTTCTTTATCCATTCATCAGTCAATGGACATTTGGGCTCTCTCCATCGTTTGGCTCTTGTTGATACTGCTGCTGTAAACATTGGGGTCCATGCATCCCTTCAAATCTGTATTTTTTTTTAATCTTTGGGTAAATACCTATTGGCACAATTACTGGGTCATAGAGTAATTCTATTTTTAACTTTTTGAGGAACCTCCATACTGCTCCAGAGTGGCTGCCCCAGCTTGCATTCCCACCAACAGTGCACGAGGGTTCCCCTTTCTCCACATCCTCGCCAACATCTGTTGTTTCATGTGTTGTTAATTTTAGTCATTCTAAATAGGTGTGATGATATCTCGTCATGGTTTGGGTTTGCATTTCCCTGATGATGAGTGATGTTGAGCATCTTTTCATGTTTCTGTTGGCCGTCTGGACGTCTTTTTTCAGAAAAGTGTCTATTCATGTCTTCTGCCTATTTTTTAACTGGATTATTTGGATTTTGGGGGTTGAGTTTGATACGTTCTTTAGCCATTTTGGATCCTAACCCTTTATCAGACATGTCATTTGCAAGTATCTTCTCCCATTCTGTAGGTCGCCTTTTAGTTTTGTTGGTTGTTTCCTTCACTGTGCAGAAGCATTTTATCTTGATGAATTCCTAATAGTTCATTTTTGCTTTTGTTTCCCTTGCCTCCCGCAAGGGAAACTAATAAGAAGTGTCTAATAAGAAGTGGTTATAACCAAAGTCAAAGAGGCTTCTGCCTGTGTTTTCCTCTAGGATTTTGACAGTTTCCTCTCTCACATTTAGGTCTATCATCTATTTTGAATTTATTTTTGTGTATGGTATAAGAAAGTGGTCCAGTTTCATTCTTCTGCATGTTGCTGTCTGTTTTCCCAACACCATTTGTTGAAGACTCTCTTTTTCCACTGGTCTTTCTTTCCTGCTTTTTTGAAGATTAGTTGACCGTATAGTTGTGGGTCCAATTCTGGGCTCTCTATTCTGTTCCGTTGCTCTACGTGTCTGTTTTTGTGCCAGTACCATACTGTCTTGATGATCACAGCTTTGTAATAGAGCCTGAAATCCAGAATCGTGATGCCTCCAGCTTTTCTTTTCTTTTTCAGGGTTGCTTTGGCTATTCTGGGTCTTTATACAAATTTTAGGATTGTTTGTTTTAGCCCTATGGAAAATGCTAGTCTTCGATAGGGATTACAGTAGCTGCATAGGTGGCTTAGTTTGTTACAGACATTTTAAGGATGTTCTTCCAGTCCACGAGCATGGATTTCCATGTCTTTGTGTCCTCTTCAATTTCTTTCATAAGTGTCTTATAGTTTTTTTTAAGATTTTATTTATTTATTTGACAGAGATCACAAGTAGGCAGAGAGGCAGGCAGAGAGAGAGGAAGGGAAGCAGGCTCCCTGCTGAGCAGAGAGTCCAGTGTGGGGCTTGATCCCAGGACCCTGGGATCATAACCTGAGCTGAAGGCAGAGTCCCCAACCCACTGAGCCACCCAGGTGCCCCGTCCTATAGTTTTCAGAGTACAGATCTTTTATCTCTTCAAGTTTATTCATAAGTATCTCATTGTTTTTGGCACAACTGTAAATGGGATTGACCCCTTGATTTCTTTTTCTGCTGCTTCCTTATTGGTGTATAGAAGTGCAACAGATTTCTGCACATTGATTTTATATCCTGCAACTTTGCTGAATTCATGTATTAGTTCTAGCAATTTTTTGGTGGAGTCTTCTGGGTTTTCTGCATACAGTGTCATGCCATCTGCAAATAGTGGAAGTTTGACTTCTTTCTTGCTGATTTGGTTACCTTATATTTCTTTCTGTTGTCTGACTGCTGAGGCTAAGACTTCCAGTACTGTGTTAAATAGTAATGGGGAGAGTGGACATTCCTGTCTCGTCCCTGACTGTAGGGGAAGGGCTCTCAGTTTTTCCCTGTTGAGGAGGGTATTAGCTTGGGTCTTTTGTGTATTTTTGTATATTTTGTCAAATGTTTTTTCTTCTTCTGTTGAGGATCATCTGGTTCTTATCCTTTCTTTTATTAATGTGATGTATCATGTTGATTGATTCGTTAATTTTTTTAAAGATTTTATTTATTTATTTGAGAGGGAGTGAGAGAATGAAAGAGAGAGATTTCAGGAGAGGGAGCGAGAGAATGAGAGAGAGAGAGCATGAGAAGGGGGAGGGTCAGAGGGAGAACCAGATTCCCTGCCGAGCAGGGAGCCTGATGCGGGACTCGATCCCAGGATTTCAGGATCACGATCTGAGCCGAAGGCAGTTGCTTAACCGACTGAGCCACCCAGGCGCCCCTGATTTGCGAATATTGAACCACCTCTGTAGCCCAGGAAGAAATCCCACTTGATCGTGGTGAATCATTCTTTTAACATACTATTGAATTCTCGATTATTGAGAATTTTTGCCTTCATGTTCTTCAGCGATATTGGCTTGCAATTCTCTTTTTTAGTGTGAGATCCCCCACTCTTAAGGCAGGTTTCTCTCTGCCGGGCCTCTAACCTGGATGGACGTCACTCACAGATCTGGACAGGTCCCCGAAGTTCCTCTGGACCACCACCACCTTCCTGCCGCGGGGTCTGGTTTTCTGGAGGTCAGTGCAAGAGCAGAAAAATTCCTTCCAGCTTCTCACATCATTGTGAAACACAAGAAGACACCTAACTAAGGTTGGTGGTAAAAATTGTGGTAAAAATCATCGGATTCCTCTCCAAGCCTGGCAGGGGAGGGAGTGTGGGGTGCAAAGCTGTGACTCGTTCCCAGCACCACCGTTCTGCCCCCAGATCGGGCATTTTAAAAATGCTTGTTCTCATGGTTCAGAACTGCTCACAGTTATAATTGGGTGAGGCTGTGATTTCTTGCCCATTTCTTTCTTCATGCGTCCCCCAAGGCCCGGGACATCTTCCGCCCTCCCTGACCCTCCCCCTACCCCCCCAACCCAGCACGGGGTCAGCCCATCACAGGGCACACTCAGAAGCTGACGGCTGCTGAAGAAACATTTGTGCTTGCTGAGACGTGTGCTGTAGGATCAGGAAGGTTTCCGGAATGAACTTCCACATCTCCTGGATAAAGAGGGCACCTCTTTTTCCAGGAATTGGCACATCCAAGAGCCATGTTGCCAGAAGCCACTTTCTCTTCAGTGCCTAAAATTTAAGTGCTGGGAACTTAAAGCTCCTCGGTAGAGATGACTTCCGGTTTTCTTGTATCCCTCCCGGCTCCCTGGACCAGCGGTCCTGACTCTGTAGCAAGAGGTGTTGGGCCTGGGGCTCCAGAGGGCCCCTGTTAGGACAAATGAACTGAAGGCAGAACAAGGCTCTGAACCGAGCCCCAGGTCTTTGAAGTATCTTGTGTTAATGCAGCAGAAGCTCACCTGGTAGTTGAACCAAAAGCCCTTCAGTAGAAGAGGATGTCCGCTCAAATCTAAGTGCTTCGCTCTGACCTTGGGTTGCAGCTTTGCAGGAAGGTCTGACGTGGTAAAAGACTGCTGACTTGTGTGCTTTGTACTTTGTGGAACACAGATTTCAGCCACTGACTCATTATTCACCCTTGTTCTGGCCTCGCCTCTCTGACTGGAAAAATTGTCCCTGAAGTCCAGGCTTCCCCACCCTGACTGGGAAGACTGTCCCCAAAGTCCGAGCCTCCCCTCTCTGACTGGGAAGATTGTCTCCAAAGTCTAGGCCTCCCCTCTCTGACTGAGAAGATTGTCCCCAAAGTCCAGGTCTCCTCTCCCTGACTGGGAAGATTGTCCCCAGACTCCGAGCCTCCCCTCTCTGACTAGGAAGGTTGTCCCTGAGGTCTAGGCCTGCCCTCTCTAACTGGGAACATTGTCTCCGAAGTCCAAGCCTCCTCACTCTGACTAGGAAGTTTGTCCCTGAAGTCCAGGCCTGCCCCCTCTGACAGGGAAGACTGTCCCCAAAGTCTAAGCCTCCACTCTCTGACTCTCTGACTAGGAAGACTATTCCTGAAGTCCAGACCTCTCCTCTCTGACGGGAAAGATTGTCCTCTCTGTCTGAGGACCCCAGACTCTGGTGGAGGAAGACGGACCCCCTCCTGGTTACCATAACTGCCAACTCAGCTCTGGTGTCCGGGGAGCAGCCTCCACGGGCAGCCACGTCTTCACCCAGGTCACTCACTGCCTAGATTCAGAACATGGGGTTTAGCATGGAGATCGGGGGCAGGGGCTGCTTAGCAGTAGAAGACACATCTGGTCTTGCTTTTCTGAGCCATCTTTTCCTTTGGTTTATTTTCTGAGCCTGAGGGTAGACTGGATCCAAGAATTAGGAGTTCCCTCATCTCCCTCCATTAGTGCTTTCGACCTCTGCTGGGGTTCAGCGCGTGCCCCATCCCTGAGAAACACACAGGCACCCGGCTGACTTGACCTTGACAGCGGTGCCAAGGGCCAGCCTGAGGCCAGCGAGTGTTCGTGAGCCCGTTCCCGCCTCTCACAGCCCATTTTTGGGAGGGTCAGCCCGTCCCAAATGCTGTTCTGAGCTCAGACACCAAGCACGCCACTTAATTCCCGCGTCGCTGTTTTTACCATGGGGACCCTGCTTCTGTTTTCAGTATTTGGGGGGGTCCCCTGCCTTGTCCAGCCAGCCCGGGCATTATTCAGGCTCCTGCTTGACCCCGTGCTGACTTGAGGACGGTCAATGTGGAAAGTGCCCTTGGGCCAATCCCAGGCCGGAGGGGTCCGGAGCTGCAGCGCGGAGCCAGGAAAGCCGCTTCTCCAGAGCCCGCAGGTGGTTCTTGGGCGCAGCGCTCCAACCTGACAGAGACACTTACCGTTGAGATAAGACTGGACATAGCAGAGGCATATTTTCCACACTGAAAGGCCATAATTAAAGTCTAGTCTGGCTTGGATTTTAGGCAGGGCATCACGGGTTCATCTGTCTGGGGGCAGAAGACTAAGGTGACAAGAGACTCCCACCAGCTCCCACTGGACATTTAGAAGCCAAGGAAGGGGGCGCTGTGTGCTCTGCGTCTTGCTGAGTGTGGGGGAAGCCCAGTGAGGGGACAGCAGGTGGGCAGGGTCTCGTCCACCGCAGCTTGCCTGGAACCCATTTCTGGGACCTCCTGGCCTGGGGTAGGGGGCACAGTGACCCTCCCAGGAGCGCCCCTGTGTGTCCCTGCCCCCACACAGAAGAGGAACTATCGGTGGTCCACATCCGAAGCAGCTGGTGACCAGATGTTCTAGCAGCCACCACGATGGGCTCCTCGAGGTGTCAGCTTGGCCGGACTGCGGGACCCAGTCATTCAACCAAACACCGAGCGAGGCGCTGCTTTGGGCCCATGCGGGAGGCGTCTACAATCAGTTGGCTTTAAAGCTTATCCTCGATAACGTGGGTGGGCCTCATCCAAGCAGCTGAAAGGCCTTAAGAACAAAGCTGGGGTTTTCCTGAGGAGGAAGAGACCCCACCTGTGGACTGCACTGTCAGCTCCTGCCTGAGAGCGGCCAAGCTGCCAGGCGGCCCTCGCCAGCCCCACAGTCATGTGAGCCAGTTCCTTGAAATAAACCTCTTCATCTCAATCTCCTTCTGCTTCCGCTTTCCCGATAGGATTCTGACTGCTCGGCTCCCTCAGGGGCGTCCAGGATGGGGGAACGGCTGGGGTCGCTGTGTTTGTTCTCTTGCTCCCCGTTGGTTCCCATAGCCGTGCGGATTGACGACCACTGTCCCTTCCTAACTTTTTCTCTTCCAGGCAAATGCTGACTTGGTCTTTTTTTTCCCTCCGGGTCAGTGAGTCGCAGGCCAGCCCGGCTGGGATCTGTCGCCGGTCCCCGCTTTCTCCACGGTCCCGTCCCTCCTTCCTATCCGCAGGTCGGCGGGAGCAGTGGAACAGGCCTGCACCCGGGTCGTCGGCAGGGCCAGCTGTGAGTGTTTCTTTGGCAGTGTCTTAGCTGGTTGTTGTGAGTGATAGTGAAGGAAGCAATCAGCAAGTATACTGCCCTAGAAGTGCTGCGCGCTGTTGGGCCCCGAGGGAGGCGGCAGCGAGAGGCGACGGAGCGAGGGGAGACGCCGGAGCCCGGATGTCGGAGGCGCTGCCCCACCGTGTTGGCTGGTAAGGGCTTCGGGGGGCAGCGAGCGCGAGGGCCCTTGGAGCGGTCCGCTCGTGGATGTTGAGGGGAACAAAGCCCCCCCGCTCCCCGACCCCGGGCTGGGGTATGGGGTGTGTTGGGCTAGGAGAGGTTAGCGCACTGGAATAATAAAAACCAACATTTAAAAATTAAAAAATTAAATTAAAAAAACCAACATTTACAGAGCACTTTGTGCGAAGCCCTGTCCTAAGCATTGGAAATGGGGTCTTTCAGGAGCTAGTGTCTGTTACTTAACAGAGAAGAAAACAGACGTAGGAATTGCCAAAAGTCACAAAGGATGTGACAGAAATGAGGGACAGGATTTGACCCCAAGCAGTCTGGCTTGAGAATCCCTGTCCTTGGAGGTGGGCCTTGGGGGCATTCCTGCCCTGCGGACCTGCTTTGCAGAGTGGCTTGACCATAAACACACGTACACCGCTTCTCTCCCCCCACAAGGCAAGCTGTGAAGGCAGTCGTTAGCTTTGTCGTTAGCTTTGGCGAACATGCCTGGGTGGGCATTAGGACGTGGGTCTGCCTTGGGGAGGATTTTCCTTTTCCGCCCTGCCAGGCCCAGGATGTTGGCGGGAATGAGAAGTTGCTGGTGTGTCTGCTGGTGTGTCTGCCCCAGTGGCTGGTGAGGAAGGTGCCTCCATGGGAGCTCAGCAAAAGACAGTGTAATCCTCTGGGTCCGCCCAGCCCCACCCGCAGATGCCAACTTTGGGTCCAGTGAGCTGTGTGGCCAGCTGGGTTGCCGTGGCAACAGGAAGTGGCCCCAAGCCACCAGAGGTTGGAGAGCCAAGACACACTGGTTACTTTGGTGTGTCTTGGACCACAAGGCTCATCCGTGACCTCCGGCGAACCTGGAGAACCCATGAGGGGGCCCCGCACTTTGACAGAACCCACCGAACCAGCCTTTGGTCCTGGCCTGTCTCGCGTTGGTGCCTTCGTGGTCTTTGAGCTGTGAACTCTCCAGTTCTCCGTCCTGCTGATTTTCTCCATCCTCCAGGCTGGTGCTTATGGGAATTCACACAAGCCCGAGAGGTGAAGCGAGGTGTCCGTGGTTTACTCCTCTGACACCACTAAGACAATCTTTGGCCCGTGGCGGGGTGGGGCTTCTGGTACCTTTGATGCAGGCCAAGGACAACACGCCCTGTGACCCCTCCCCCCTCCCCATGCCCCCACTGCTCTTCCGGCAGCCACTGCCCGCGGCCCTCCCCTTCTCATGCCCGTCCGCCTGGACTCCGTCTTTTTTGGCTCTGTCTTGCCAACCTCGGTGCTTCCTAGCACTGAGGGAGGAAGATGGGCCTGTTTCCATTTGGACCACTTTATGTAAGTCGGAAGACCCCTTAGAAAGGTTTTCTGAGTCTAACCTTGGCCTTGAGACACCCCCTGTGGTCCAAGCAAGTCCTCTCTCTCTCAGTGCTGGAAGCACAGTGGGCAGCCGGGCTCCCTTCAGCCAGTGGATTCCTGCGGGAATTGTTCTGTGTCTCCTCCGGTGCTCAGAGCGCTTCAGAGACGGCCCCTTTGTGGCACACATCGGCCTGGCCGCGCCCCATGCCCACTTGGCCCACATTCCGCTCTGCCCCCCAGGCCCGTGGAGCCAGGCGTGGGCCAAAGTGAGGCCGCCGGAATGCCCGGAATGCGGGCCGCCGCGACCGACGGACACTCAACGTCCCTCGCGGGAGATCTGACCGACGCAGCGCCGGGGACGGACGGCGCTGAGCCGAAGTCTTTACATTCTTCCCAGTTTCAGGCCGGAGTGAAGGACGCCTGCACTTCTCCCTA